TAGCTATAATACATAAGGACCTAAAAAAGACCGCTAGAGACAACCTCACCATTGCGTCTTCTTCAAATCTTCAAAGCAAACGCAGGACATACTAAGGTTTTAAAAATTTTCAAACAATACGATTTTTAAGACTTCAAATTTCCCTGTCAAACAGCATCGCATCTTGTTTTGGAGGTCTACCTCCCCCGTTAACGGAACTTATCTGTTCCGTTCTGCCTTTGGTCTCCACAGAGGCCCTGACAGCCCTATAGCCAGTAGTATAGGCTCTGACTCTGACGAAAAGGGGTGCGTGTTCGAGGCTCGACTGCGGTACCACTTGGATCTGGGTATGACTGGCTGACGACGGCCAATAATCCAGAAATAGCCGTTCCAGTCTCTTTTGTCTTTTCCGGCAATGCTATCAGCCTATGAGTTTGCCTAGTAATATTTTTTATGAACTATTCTACCTCATTTACATCTTTTAGAGAACTTAATGAGCCCTAAAAAGTGCCTACTAACAGACACAAAGGAAGGTTTTCTTGTCCTTATGTGACCAAATATTTAAGGCCCCCAGGATGCTGGCTTTTGCCTAGATCATTTTCGGCCATCCAAATATTACGCCTTTTTTCTACTGATCCTCGATTCCTTGTGAATTTAAATATATTTTATAAAAGAACATGCACAGCAATAGTTTTGGCACAGAGTACTTCTTAAGCAAATTATAATCTCCAAAAAGGGAATATTTCGATTCAAAAACGTTTAGATTTATAATATTATGAGGCCGTGAGACCAACGCCAACGGCACAATATCTCCTTTTTAGTGACGATTCCTTTGAAGTATACAATATAGACCACATCCTTTGCAAACAGATAGGAGCCTTATATGTTGTCTTCTTTATGGTATCGAAGAATTTACTACTATTGTAAAGTGAATGCACACTATACTTAGACAATAAACCCCAAACACAATCACGACGGCTGACCAAGCTCAAACCTTTGAGATCATTAAAAAATTTTATAATGCCGAAAAATCGTGTTTCTAATTATGGAGTTTTAAGGATACCTACTTGATTGCAAAATGACTACACGGTAAGGTTCACATTAATTATGTAGTCTTTTTTACTATGCGTGGTTTCTACAGTCGGCCGAAAAGGAGTCAGTTAAAAAGCCGACATCCTGGAATACCTGGGAATGTTGCTTCATGATCACCTCTTCGACAACTCTAATGGAGTAATACTTCCTGCTTCAAAACATAATACAATATCTCGGTCACTGCCTTCACGAATATCTGGCCAGTCATCGGCCTAGATTTCATTCAACAGGGGGCTTTATCGCCAATAATTTTATTTTTGTAAATAAGGAAAATTGAACTTCGAAGGTCTTGGACTGGTTTCTCAGGAAGATAACAAAAATCTACGCACTAAATTCAGGTTTG